CCGTCCAAAGTTAAAAGAGGCAAGGACATTTAAAAAAAAAAAAAAAAAAAAGCTTGGAAAAAGGAATTATTGAAAAAAAAAAGTAAAGAAGAATGTAAAGCACAAAAAAAAGGGTTTTGTTATTGTTGTTCTCCCTGTTTTTGTTATTTTGTGTTAAATAAGCTTGGGGGAAAGTTATTTAATAAGCATACTTGGCACTTTTGTTTTGGAATCGTTTGGATCTTGTGGAAGAAGTTCCACCCGTGCTTCACATAGGTTTACCACCAATTTCAAGAGTTCTCCACACCTTTACTCTCCTAGCTTATATGTTAATACCTTGAAAGTCCTTTTGATCCTAGAGGGTTAAGTCATTCAATGATGGCGGGAAATAGGAATCAAGCCTATAGAGCGAGTTTGCATAGCCAAGATGTCGGGTAACCTTCTCAATGTTTTTAATTTCTTATTTATTTTCCGGTTTCTTCGTGGAATCATGAGAAGCTAACTTGAAAGTGGATTTGAAACTAGTAGAGAGAACGTGGTTTGATTGGTTGAAACAAAAGGTGGAATGTGTTTCCTTTAGTTCTCTATGCTTAGCATATGTTATGTTTCAATCAACCTTGGACATCTTAGAACGTGCATACCTTTATTATTTTAGAAATATTGACATTCATTAGTGTTTGTTCCATCATAAAAGTCCACTCTAGAACGCTTGTAACTTTTCTCTTACTTCGATTTATTTTATTTTATTTATTTATTGCCTTGCCTTGATTTTTGTCAAGAGTTATGGGTTAAACTCTTAGGACACCCTTACGAGAGCTTACTCGTCCTCTAGAGCAATCTAAGGGTTTAAAGTTCTTGATTCATACGCTAAATGTATTCGTGATTCCTACGAAAGTGAGTTAGTGTATATTCTTTCCCTTCTAGTTTTCTTTGTATAAAATGCATCACATTCCCTTGTGTTTCTTTTGTTTTTCTCGAGGGCGAGCAAAAGTTAAGCTTGGGGGAATTTGATAAGTGTCATTTATGTCGCTATTTTTAGGAGTTTTCTAGTTAGTTTTTCATAGTTTTTCTATCTTTTTACTTGATTTTAATAACGTTTTACTACATTTGTCATGTTTATGTGTGAAATGTCGTTATTGCTCAATTTTGGCTTTTCTTGCATATTTTGGTGGCTTATGACATTAGATTAAACTTTATTGGTTTACTCTTATGTTTAGGAACACTTGGATAAGTTCATTGCTCAAGATTGAAGAAATATAAAGCATAAAAGAACAAGTAATGAAGAAATGTGCACTTGATTTGCAAAGATCATACTTCAAACGCCTATATCTTTTGATCTACAAAACATTTTGGGGCGATTCCAATTGGAGATGAAAGATTATCTTGAGAGCTTTCCAACGACAGGTCATATACTCAATTCCGATGTAAAACGTGGGAGATATGCTCATTTGAAGCTGAGCAGTTTGCCCAGTCCGCAGCCAGGAGCGCCCGCTCCTCAAGGCCGCTTGCCCGCTCCTCACAGGGTGTGCAATTTTGAAGTTTGGCAGAAGGTTTGGAGCGCCCGCTCCTGAGGGGTGCACGCCCGCTCCTCTACGCGCTGCTCGACTTTTTGCGGAGCTTCCTAGGCAATTTAGTAAGGGCTATAAATAGATTTTTTGCTCATTATAGAAGGGAGAATTCATATTTTCAGTAGTTTTAGGTTTTTAGAGAGAGAAACTCTCAAATTTTGGAGAGAGAAAGTGAGAGAAACAATGGTTTTCATGGATTTTGGATAATCAAAGGAGGAATTTGATGATTTGAAGATCTCCATTTTATATCAATGAGCATTTCTTACTCTCTTCTCTCTTTATGCTTTATTAATTGCTTTGTTAATCATGTTTGAGTAGATTTCCTTCTACTAGGTGTTGAGTGAAGCTTTGTTATGGTTAATTGAGTTATTTGAGATAAATTTGATGATAATTGTGTGATTAAATTGATTGAATTGATGATGGCATGTTGTTTGTTTTAGATTGGATTGATCTTCCAAGATAGCAAACTTAATTGCATGTTAGTTCTAGTTTGACAAGGGATTGTGAATTAGAATTTATATATTTGATTGCATTTTGGGTAAATTTCTTCTATGCACCTAGTCAATGAGGGATCTAGGCTAGGAATTTGAGAGATTGCTCTTGATGGTAATTAATTCCCATTTTAATTCTTTCTTTGCATGATTGATTATCAAATCGATTCCCATTAACTTGTTAATTGTTCAAAGTGGATCTTTTCCCCTAGTAGACTTTGTAATATCTTGATCTTTATATGTGTGTTAGTGTAGTTGTAGTGTCCACTATCCATAAACCGACTTCGGCGTAGCTTAAGCATTAGATCGAGAACAATCCAACATTACCGTTCCTTGTGGTTCGACTCCGAACTTACCACTAGACTTGTTTAGGGGTTAGTTTAGGATTATAATAAATTTTGTTTGGACGTGAGGAGGTTAGTCAACTACATAATTTCCCCGCGCTCACTTATCCCTTGTAATTTGCATTCCAAGAACTTTCTTTGCTGGACCCAAGTCCTTCATGTCAATTGCTCCTTTGACAATTGCTCCCTTGGCCTTCTTATATCATCCATATTTGAACCTGCTACTAACATATCATCGACATAAAGTAGTAGAATGATATATCTGGATTGGTATCTCTTGATGTAGAAACAGTGATCAACATTGCACTTCTGGAAATCTTCCTTTTGCATAAAGTTATTAAACTTTTTGTACCACTGTCTCGGGGCTTGTTTTAGGCCATACAAACTTTTCTTATGTTTTCACACCATATATTCTTTCCTATTTTCTAAGAAACATTCTGGTTGATGCATGTAGATCTCCTCATCCAGATCTCCATGAACAAATGCAGTCTTCACATCTAATTGCTCTAGATGAAGATTTTCAATGGCAACAATAATCAACACTGTTCTAATGGTATTAAGTTTCACAACAGGTGCAAAAATCTCATTGTAGTCAACTCCTTCTTTTTGTTGGAATCCTTTAACTATTAATCGAGCTTTGTTCTCTTGGAACCATCATGCTTCTTTTTCACTCGATATACCCATTTGTTGTGAAGTGCCTTTTTACCCAAGGGTAACTCAGTTAATTCCCATGTTTGGTTTAAAATCAAAGAATTCATCTCATCTTTCATTGCAAGCTCCCACTTCCTAGCATCACTTTCCTGACACGCTTCATTATAGCATTCAGGTTCCCCTTCATCAGTTAATAACTGATAATTCACTTATTTTCTGTTTGGTACATGTGGACTAGTAGTCCTTCTAAATACTGGTGCTGGACTAGAAGTTTGTGGCATGTTGGACTGTGGTGTAAGGATCTGTCCAACATATTCTTCTTGTTGAGGTTCTCTTACAGGTGAGTCTTTCATCATACTATTGGGGATATAATCTTCATCTACAAACATTGGCCCACTCTATACTAAGTCACTAGTTTTAATTTTGTGTCTATCCTTGTACATGACTCTTTCATTGAAAATCACATCTCTAGTACGGATCACCTTTTTATTTCCATCATCCCATATGCGGTATCCAAACTCATCCCAGCCATAGCCAATGAAAATACATTTCTTAGAGTTAGGATCAAGCTTATTCCTACCTTGATCACTAATATGCACATATGCTACATAACCAAAAACCTTTAAGTGAGACAAATTTATATCTTTTCCAGTCCATACCTCTTCTGGTATTTTATAGTCTAATGGAGTCGATGGTCCTCGGTTGATCAAGTAAGCTGTTGTGTTGACTGCTTTTGCCCAAAACTACTTCGGTAAATCTGACTGTTTACGAATGCTTCTGGCTCTTTTTTTCAACGTTCAATTCATACTCTCAGCTACACCATTATGTTGTGGTGTACCCGACACTGTTCTCTCCATCTTGATCCCATGCTCATAGCAAAACTTCTTGAATGTGGTGTATTCATATTCACCACCATTGTCGGTTTCGAACTTTTAATCTTCAGACCTGTTTCATTTTCCACCATAGCTTTCCATCACTTGAAAGTTTTAAACACTTCAGACTTTTGTTTTAGGAAGTAAACCCATACCTTCCGGGAGCGATCATCAATAAAAGTGACAAAGTAGAGTTTTCCACGGATAGATGAAGTAGTTGTTGGACCCCAAACATTGTAGTGAACAAGCTCCAACTTTTCCTTTTTTGGGATTCTACCACTAGTTTGAAAGCTTACCCTCTTCTGCTTTCCAAGTATGCATTCTTCACACATGTCCATATCAATAGATTCAAGACTTGGGAATTTCCCTTTAGAATGCATTATTTTCATCCCTTTCTCACTCATGTGGCCAAGTCTTTGGTTTCACAATTTGGAATTTTCATTTCCTACTGCAATTGAAATTGAACAACACGCCCCTGATGTCATGTAAAGAGTACCACTCTTTTTACCATGAGCAATTGTCATTGCTCCCTTTGAAATCTTCCAATTGTCATCTTGGAAGTTTGTAGTGTAGTCTTCGGTGGCCAACTGTCCAATGGAAATCAAGTTCTTTCTTAGGTCGGGAATATGCTTGACATTATTCAGCTCCCAAAACTGACCCATTTAACTTTATCTTCACTACACCTTTACCAACAATATCACAAGGTTGATCATCTCCAAGGTATACTTTTCTAAGGTTTCCAAGGACATACTTCTCAAAGAATTCTTTCTTTGAAGTAGCGTGGAATGATGATCCAGAATCTAAAACCTAAGATTCTTCCTTGCTCTCTAAAGAGCATATCAATGCATCATCTCCTTCTACGGTAGAAGTAACATTTGCCTCTGCCTTTAATTCTTGGTTTTTCGGTGCACTCCTGCACTGATTTTTATAATGCCCTGTCTTCCCACAATTCCAACACTCAATAGACTTCGAGTTCTGGGAATTATTGGGAGTCCTTGATTTTGATTTCCTATCTCTGGATTTACCTCGATAGCTTGATCTTCCACGTTCGTTTCTTTTGGTTGAATTTCTTTCTCTTAACTATGTATGTAAAACTTAAGAGGTTGATAATTCACCCGACTCTCTCCGTCGGATCTCTTCACTGAGAACCAGGTCACGAACATCATTAAATTTCAATTTATTGCTTCCTGATGAGCTACTCACAGTTGTGACTGTAGCATTCCAGCTATCTGGTAATGAAGACAAAAGTATCAATGCTTGAACTTCATCTTCAAAATCAATTTTAATTGAACTCAATTGGGTTGTGATTGAATTGAGTTCATTAAAATGTTGAGCTACCAACCCGCCATCTGTCATCCGCAAATTGAATAACCGCCTCATTAAATGAACTTTAATAGAAGCCGATGGCTTCTCATACATACTAGAGAGAGCTTTCATCAGACCTGTCGTGGTCTTTTCCTTTGCTATATTAAAAGCAATATTGCGTGAAAAAGTTAGCCTAATAACTCCAAGGGCTTGTCTATCTAGAAGATTCCAATCTTCATCTTTCATACCCTCTGGCTTTTTTTCTAAAAGAGGTTCATAAAGCTTTTTCTGGTATAAATAATCTTTGATCTGCATCTTCCAAAACCCGAAATCTGCACCATCGAATTTTTCGAGTCTTATACTTTTCCTTCGTCTGCAACCACTGCTCCCACTCAAATCTAACTTCTTAGGATCGTTTCTGATGATTTCTATCTGAATGTCGAAAAAATATCAACTCAGCTCTGATACCAGTTGTTAGAAAATATTATGTAAATTCTCCTTAGAATCAGATTAGTGGAAATAAAAAATATAGATGAATAATACAAATAAATGAACAAATATTTGTATCTCTAATTATGCTGCAAAATTTATTGAAAAAGATAAAGAATACACAAGTGTTCACAACACTTATTATAACTCACAACCATATGCACCCTAATCACACCCGAGAATTTTGTCTAAAAAATTCTCTTAAAGTTTCTCCCTCTACTTTATTTTTTCTTTTGTTTTTTGGGATAAATATAAAAAATCATAACTTAAGTTTATATAGATCCCATATTTCTAAATATGACTTCTTAAATTTAGAAAACTATTTTCTCCTTCACATTTCGTAGGAAATCATTCACGTATTGCTAAGAAATTCTAAGGCTTATATTTGTTTTCCTTTTTAAAATTGTGGTGATCTTAACACTTCCGGCTTTGGAGCATCACAGAATATGAGTATGTCCAAGCTCTTATTTGGCATGAACTCATAAACAAGCAAGAGCTCAGTGTTTTCATAACACCATCCCATCAAATCCACAAGATTCTTATGGTGGATGCCACCAATAGTGGTTACTTCTGCAATTAAATTTTTCTTTCCTTTCTTTGTAGATTTTGTGATTCTTTTGACAGCCGCCTACTTACCATTCAACACCCCCTTGTAGACTATGCCAAAACCTCCTCTACCAAGCTCATTTCTGGAATTGAAATTTCTAGTTGCAACTTTGAGCTCCTTAAACCGGTTTTTCTTTGGACCCAACATTAAACATTGTGTCTCTACATCTAAGGTGCCATCCTCATCCTTTGTACATTTCCTTTTCCATTTCATTTTCTGGTAAATACAACATGCTAGACTGCCCATACAAATTACAGATGTAAGCGGAATCAGGATAGCAACATAAAAGTGGGTTGCATTATATTTCTCAATGTCACTGCTGGAGAAGTACCATTCTGTTATGCAATTCAGTTGAATATCTGAACTAGTTGAGGCAGAGAATCCAACATAAACATCTTCTGGAAGGTGTCTAGATAGATCGAGAGGCATGGAAAGGATTGGAAATTCAGAGTTTGCTCCTCTTTTGTTCATCGAAACACTTACATTTACCATTTTCTTGGTGCCATCATAATCAATTGTAGCAGTGATAGGAGTAAGACTCGAAAGATTAACTCCAAATTGGGTCAGTGAAGTCGTTCTGTTAGATTTTATGCTATTGATGTTTACACCAAAATGATTATTATCAACATCTTCTCTGAAGCTCTTTCTAGTATCAAATTCAAATGCGATTATTTTATTTCCAGGGGTACCGTCTTTACCAGCATTTGTTATCCCCAACCACTGGCCGTAGCTATTTTCTGGAACCTGAGGGTCCCTAGTTAGAATAATTGCGAGACCTTCACCGGGAGGATTAGACTGTGGGGCAATTGCCAATACAAATCTTGTGTTGAAAGAAGAGACTCGGTGACTTTTTCTCCATAACTTCAGCCTATTTTCGTATAAGATTCTTCCTGTCAAATTAGCTGACAGGTTTTCTCCAGGAAGGCCATTGGTTACTTGTAGAATATTTTGGACCATGTTGGATTGACCTTTGAAAATAAAATTGTTTCTAACATTTTCAAGAAAGCTTCTGTAATTGATATTCAAGCGGCATCCCTGGTTAGCTGTTGCTGTGACAAGTAGAAGTATAATGAACACACTGCTTGCACTCACAGAATCCAAAGTGATCAAGGTACGCGACATCTGATCTCTAAAGGTAATATTTCAGGAGAGGGCAGTCCATCAAGATAACAAAATATTTTTCTTGCTAAGAACAGACTGTCAAAAATGCTGATTGGCAAGTTAATTCTTCTGTAGTCATTACTTGAGATATTGGCAACCTCAGCCAGTCAACAACGCCACTGCCTGTTCCCTAGTAGGATCTGGCCACATTGGATGATAACCGCGTATGAAAAGGAGATTAATATTTTTATGAATGAAAATATTGAATGTATCAATCCTTGAAGACTTATTGCAGTCAAATTATTCATTTACAGCGAAAGTCATCTATTTTTTTTCTGAATGGTCAAAGAGATGATCAAACAGCATGATATGTGCACTTGAACTCGATAGGTCAGAATATTGTTTAAAATGGCAGGTTAGAAAATACAAGCTGTTTGGGAAGTTCAGACATTGCATAGGAAAATGGAAAGCGGTATCAGATGGTGTTACTTGTTCAACTAAAATTTTACTAGTATTAGTTTGCATACATCCTTTAGATTGATCATTACGGCTTGACTTTCTATCACAAATGATGGGAAACAGTCAATATAAGCTGTAGTAATTAACAAACTGACACGAAGATAAAGTTTAATTGCGAAAGTATAAAAAGAAATTCAGTATGCAACTCAATAATTTAATAGTTGGATACCCTATCTTGCCTATTATATACAGACAGTACAACTGTACAGGACATCGCATATTCACTATGCAACTCAGTAGATCTAAGGTCATTCGCGCAGCTTCAAGGATTCATAGTGCTTCTTTTGACAGAAAATATAAGGTCAGAAACTAGATATGCAGTTAATATTTTGTGTCTGCTACTCTCCTTTGCTTTGTACATAGAATCCTCTTGTGAACCAAACGAAAGGCTAAGTAGGATAAAACATACATACTATTTGCACTACAATGTATAGAATGACAGTAAACAATGAGATGAAATGAAAGTACGAAAAATCTGCATAATAAGCTCAGGGCAAAGCGGCATACTATCCTTGGCCATTATTATAAACAATATTAGGCTGACGATCTACGTGATATTCAGCAGATACACATGAGTAATCAAGTAAATTAATGTTTCTGATTCAAACAGACAGATAAAATTTAAGGTATGCTTGATTTAATTAAAAAAAAAAAAAATCAAATTCAAAGCATACTATAAGTGTTGATTATGATAATCAACAAGCCAAAGTTATTGTAAGTTACAGTATGACTATGCTATCTTACAACAAGATCTGAATAAGTTTCTTTCAACATATTCTCTCCTCCACTAGAATCCTCCAAGTGATCAAAGGATGTTATATCAACTGTTGCAGGCCACATGAAGACAGGCTTCTCAATGGCAACTGATGGTGGAAGTACCTCCCCCATCAAAACTTGAAGTGCGTTTCTCATTGAAGGTCTTGTATAAGGGTTTGGATGACAGCAAGCTAAACCCAGTAAAAGCATGCACTCAGCCTGCCCCATATCAAACTCATCCTTCAATCTTGGATCAATAGCACTAAGAATCATATCGGACTTGTAAAGGTCCCACACCCAATCGACTAAATTCTTGTCATCGTTTTGTTTCCCTGGCATTCTCCCACTGATCACCACTAGAACCAAAACACCAAAGGCAAAAACATCAGTTTCTGCAGTCGAATGTCCCATGAGAAAAATCTCTGGAGCCATGTAACCTGGTGTTCCCATAAGTTCTTTCGTCGAATGGTGTGTCTGTTCACCTAGTTTAAACATCCTAGCAAGCCCAAAATCTCCTAAGCGAGCATTAAATTCTGAATCTAGCATTATATTACTAGTTTTAATGTCTCGATGTAGAACCCTCTTCGAGCACTCATGGTGAAGATAATCCAAAGATTGAGCCACACCACAAATGATGCCATGCCTTCTTTCCCAACTTAATGTCATATTTTCATCATCTGAGCATATGAACTTATCAAGGCTTCCATTAGGCATATACTCATACACCAACAAAAACTCATTTTTCTCAAAACACCACCCTATCAACTCCACTAGATTCTTGTGGTGAAGACTACCAATTGTTGTGACTTCCGCTATCAGATTTTGCTTCCCTTGACGAGTATTGATGATTCTTTTGACAGCCACATCTTTCATATCCAGCTTTCCCTGGTAAACTACTCCAAATCCTCCTCTTCCAAGCTCATTCTTGGGACTAAAATTACCAGTAGCACCCTTTAGATCCTTGAGCTTGAATTTTTTCGGACCTAAACCCGTCTCAATGCTCTGCATAGAGAGCCCATCATCATCATCATCCACTTGCTTTTGCTTCCTTCTATGTCTTCTATAAAAAAAACCAACTACAATACCACACGAAACGAGTACAACAATTAGGACAGAAATCAAAATCCAGACCCATATATGCTTTGCTTCAGCTATGTTATGTCCATCAAAGGACCATGATTTTACACAGTTAAGCTCTATCCCTGTTCCTGTTGAACCTGAAAATCCGACATAAACTTTCTTAGGAAGATGCAGGGAAAGATCAATAGGAACACTCATTAATCGCGAAAACTCTGTTTGATTTTCTCCCTTTACAGACACGTTCATAACTTTCGTTACACCATCATAGCTGATCACAGCAGTAATATCCTTTTCATCTGCAATTCTGATACCTCGTCCATACAGTGAAACCTGTTGTTCAGAATATACACTATTAATATTCAAACCAACATGGTTATCATCCAAATCTTCTGGAAAGCTCTTTTTCGTGTCAAACTCGATAGCCACAATGTTGCCCTGAGCAGAACCATTTGTGTTAGCATTGACAATTCCTAGCCACTGTCCTTGGCTGTCAGCCAGGACCTCGGAATCCTTAGCTAAAATAAATGCTAGCCCTTCACCACCACCATTTTGTAGAGTTTTTATATTGAGAACAAATTGTGTGCTGAAAGATGCATTTCTTTGTTTGTTCCATAGCCTAAAACCTTGTTTGTATACGATCTTTCCACTACGGTTGAAAAGAGTTGCAATTCCTCCATTAGTGTCCGGTGTGACTTGTATGGCCTTTTCATATATGTGGGAATTATCAGACATGATGAAGTCTACTTCCTCGGAATCAGAAAAGGTTGTATAATTAAAACCAAAACACCGTACTTGATCAAGTGTAGCAAGGTATAGAAGTATAACAAGAAAAAAATTGATGAAATTATGTAACATTTTCATTTTTTTGACTATGAATTGGCAAAATGCAGGTAAATAAATTTCATAAACTATCTATAGAAATGGAAATATATAAAGGATTCAATGTTCATGTCATTGTCATCTCATGCATTATTCTATGGACTAATTCTCTATATTATCAGTAATAATAAAGTCAAGGAATGGGTAAATGTCAAATACTCGTATGTGAACATTTTGATTGCTCGTTCATGCATCATCCATGCTTTAAATTTGATTTAGCAATTGATGAAAAGTCTACTTTTGTAGATGAGTTGGTAACTTGGTGCATGTATGTATTTAATTTTGATTTTCTTCGCATATGCATAGAAAGATTGATTTTTACGATCTCTAGACGCGTCTTTCATTATTGATATATCGAGTTAGTTTTATTTTGCTTCTTACAGACATTTGGTATAAATGACAAAAATACTACGTATGTAGAAAAAGAACCCACAAAGTTAGATCTTACATAATTCCTGGAAAAAGAAAAAAAATCTCACATTATAGCTATTATAAATATACGAAGTAATTAATATTATATTTATGGAGTAGTAAAATACTGCATGCGTCAGAATTATTAAATTTGACATATATTATCCAATATTGGAATTGAAAAAAACATTATAAAAATTACAAAGTTCTTATTATATTTCCCATGAGGCAATACTTCATGTTATGATTGATTAGGAAGTTTCATGGAAATAGATGGGAGGAAAGTTTTAATTTTGCCATATTTCTATGTGATGGCTACATCTCAACCTTTAGTAACAATTTCTGTTCTTGATGTATTAATATTTGGATGTTAGCTCGATCATTAGAGATAAGGCTAAATTATACTACGTACTTTCTTTGATATTTTCTTTTAATCGCAACACATTAACCTTTGGAACTTTAAAAAATAATTGTGACATTTCTTTAATTGACTAGTATTTATCTATGTCCCCCTTCATCATATAAATTTCTCTTCTTTCTATTCTCGTTAAAAATTGTGCTTCCCCTTAGTTGTTTTTAGTGTAGAGAGAGCGCCACTAGGGAAATGAGTGTGGATATCAATCCACACCCACTAATACGTACTCCGTATCTCCGTAATATAAGTTGTAATAAGAACAAGAGAGATATAAACATATTTATGTAAAATAAATAAATAAATAAATTATATACGTAAATAATTCTTAGTCTTAAATGTTGAATCTTTCAAGTAAATACAAGTTTCTGTGCAAATTCCAGTAAAGACAAGATTGATTGCCTCTTCCGTCTTCAGCCATCTAATTAGTATTTTATCTTCAGTGTATGCTCTAATAATAGTCAAATTTACCGGCTTTATTTTGAAATCAGAATATCTTATTCAGATTAGAGATGAAGTGAACTAATAATGCATAGAATGTAGGATATTAACCAGAATATTCTTACAGAAAATTTTCCAGATCAGATTCACATATAAACTAATGCAGAGGACCCAGCCAGTCAACTAGTAAAGATCGGAAAGTGGAGGTGAAGTACATAAATCGAGTCAATGGTTGTTTCGAGATAAATTATGCTGGCCAATTAGCATGAATCTGGCTGTTTAATGTACACAATACATCCACCCTCTTATGAAGCTATGCCAAATGAGCGACAAAATAGTCTTAGGTGTACAATACACCATTGTTTACAACGAAAATTTTCACTCACGTGTATAAAACCGGTTCCTATAATTTTGGCACACGTATGGCCCAAGGATAGTTTTACCCCAAGTAAATGAGCCTACACTGATACTACAATCACTTTCGAAAATACTTTCTTGTAGAACAATACAACATTATTCTAAGCACTACCCTGAGACAGGCAGACAGTCAATATTCTCTGGTCAGCAGTATGAGCTAGCATTTTAGCAATGTTAAGTATGAGCATGTCTGATCTAAGCATCTAAAAGCCGCTAATTTGAAGTTGATGAATTAGTACACGCAGTTACATGCATTTAGGAATGATCTCGTTTGCTTTTAATCTAACTGAAAGTAATTAAAAATGCACTAAATTTGCTCTGAAAGTAGAACCAATAGCTAGAACATTCTTCCTCACAAAAATTTCCTTAGGAATGCAGAACTGAAAAATGTATAAAATAATGCAGAATCAAGACTCAGTAGAGATAACTGATCATGCAACCAATTACTGATTCAACCAAATCTAAAAGAAAATAAAATAAAAACAAGTCGATAACTAACCATGAACAGTTCCCTTTATCTTGTCTTGTACCTTTATAATCAGAACTTTTTCCATATACCCTGATTGTGTTATCGATTCCACCAAATATAATTTTCATGAAGATTCAACGAGTCCTGGCTTTTCATTGCAGTAGCAGTAGCAAGTTTCTCCTGCTTATATTGCTGCTGTGTGTTGCTGCAGTTAGCCAAGGATGGTGCTTTAATTATTCAAGCTTTCCGCGAGAAATTGGAGAAGATTTCATTATAAAGGGGGATGCATACATAGTCTACAATGTCCTCCAAGTTACAATGGACATCAGTAATACCAATCAAACCAAAAATCTTTATGGAAGAATCGTGCATAAAATCCCATCAGGTTGTGGAAGAAAGGAAGAGTGGCATCTTTCAATTCTACTTTTGTTCTTAATGTATCGCCTTTTTCTGGTCCCCCTGGTGACGGGCTAGGCTTCATCTTATGTAAAGATAGCAATGTTCCAAATAATAGCTTGGATAAATGGCTTGGGATAGTCAATGCCAAAACCAATGGATCCTCTCAAGCCAGCATAGTCGCGGTGGAGTTTGACACCAAGAAGAGCTTTGCAGAAGACCTTGATAACAACCATGTTGGTTTGAACATCAACAGCATATTTTCCAAACATCAAACTTCATTGAACAGCTCAGGTATTTTCATTTCAAATGGTACAAATATTACTGCGATGATCCTTTATGATGGTGATACAAAAACTATGAATATATCTGTCTTTCAAGGGAAGAAAGTAGGCACAAAACCTCCAATTATGTCAATTCCTAATCTTGATCTTTCTCAATATCTTCCTGAAATGGTATATGTCGGGTTTTCTGCGTCAACCGGACAAGTAGCAATTGAACGTAACTGCATACTAGAATGGTATTTCACCTTTGATGAACTAGGCGAAGAATCAAAGTTTCCAAGGTGGGTTTGGATTGTGGTTGCTGTGAGCACTTTGGACTCATTATGTGGAATTGGTGTTACTGCTGGTTATTTCTGCTATAAAAGAAAACAAAGGCCATTAAATAGTTATGATTTACCGATCTTCACAGGAGTCAGTCCCAAGCAGTTGAAGCTCAAGGATCTCAAGGCTGCTACAGGTAATTTCAACCGGAAAAATGAACTAGGGGGAGGAGGCTTTGGCATAGTCTACAAAGGAAATTTGGAGGGACAGTTTGTGGCAGTTAAAAGAGTAAAAGATACACCGAAAGGAATGCAGAATTTGATCGCCGAGGTCACCACCATTGGTAGCCTTCATCACAAGAATCTTGTAGAATTGATTGGCTGGTGTTATGAAGGCAGTGAACTGCTCTTAGTTTACGAGTACATGCAGAACAGAAGCTTAGACACATTCTTATATTGTAAAGATGAGAAAATTGGCTGGGAGATACAAAATAAAACACTAAGTTGGTGCAAGAGATATAATATTATCTGTGGTGTTGCTCAGGCTTTGGATTATCTTCATAATGAGTGCTTGAAAAGAGTTTTACACAGGGACATAAAAGCGAGCAACATAATGTTGGATTCAGGATTTAATGCTAGACTCGGAGACTTTGGACTGGCTCGGATGTTTAAACTTAGTGAGAAGACTCATCATTCTACCAAGGAAATTGCTGGAACACCAGGGTACATGGCTCCAGAACTCTTCCTCAGAGGAAAAGCAACCACAGAAACAGATGTTTTCGCCTTTGGTGTTCTGGCATTAGTGTTGGCCACAGGGAAAAAACCGGGAATTCAAGATGAGCAGAGTGAGAGCAGCACCTGCATTATAGACTGGGTGTGGGAACTTAATTCATTGGATTCTGTTACCGATGCTATAGACCCTAAATTGAAGGGAAATTATGATGAGAGAGAGGCGAAGCACATGCTTATATTGGGGTTGGCGTGCTGCCATCCGAATCCAAATATGAGGCCGTCTATGGGATATGTTCTTCAGGTTCTGTTAGGTGAAGCAATTCTACCAACAGTCTCCTTAGAGAAGCCTGCCTTTGTCTGGCCAGCGCCTTCACCATCCTTCACCCACGAGCATTCTTATAGCGGAGGCATGCTTAGCACATTCTCTAGCATTAATGGAAGGTGATTCTCATGTTCTTGTTCAACAACTTGTGTAAATCCTCTCTTAACTTGTTTCTGCTACATATTTCACAGGACTTTGGATTAGTTATCAGTGTTCTTTAATTTCTTCAAAGTAATGCAAATAAGATTGCTATATTTTCCTTAAATTTGTATAGTTTGTGTGTGCTTAAGACTTTATAGAACATGTATAAAATGCAGAACTTCATTTTTGCACCTTCTGTGTGCTGTACTACAAAAAATTGAAAAACAATCAACTTCCTTTTACAGTGGTGCAGAGAAGGGTTGCAATATTTTGCATTCGAGTTTTCTTGTTCCAAAGACATAACATTGTCCTGCAACTACAATACACCTGGACACTTTTTTTAACATTACAATTCTTCATTTGTGTAAGGTTAAGGACGCTTGCGAAAGCGTGATTGATCGAGAAATTGATAAAGTATAAACGACAAGAAAATAACACCCAACGAGCACTTTAAAATAATTCCACTATATTAAAATATATGAGAGTACAAAAGAGAAAAGACCCTAAAAGTTAGGGTGTAAGATTACAAAATAACTCTCACAATAATAAGTACTCACAAAAGAGTATTAAAAGAATAGTGGATAAAAGTACAAGGAGGAAGTTTTAAGTAAACTTATGAGATGAAATAATTTTAGTGTGATGGAGGATTAGGGACTTTTTGTATGTGTGGATTTTTTCTTGATTGCATGCTTCTAGTGGATGACAA